TTTTTTTTTTTTTTTTTTTTTTTTTTTTTTTTTTTTTTTTTTTTTTTTTTTTTTTTTTTTTTTTGTTTAAGAATCATAAGACTTTTCTTATTCCATGAACTTGTGGTCATAACTACAGAGGTTTGAAGAAGCAGCAAACTCTTTCTACGAGGGTGTCCAGCTTGATCCTAACAATATGGCATTGGTCAATGCTTTCAGGTTCTTACTAATCTCAATCTGTTTCTACTGTGTGTGTGTGTTTTGTTATTTATATTTGGAGGTTTCGTTTTTGATAGCCTTTGTTTCTATTTGTTTTTTTGTAATTCTTTGTGGTAATTAGTCAGTTTTGTTGAAAGTCTTCATTTATTATGACTGCAAAAATGGACAAACTTGATTATGACAGTAATGCTTTCTGGGTTGATATGATATATGCTTCCTCCAATCTGTTTGAGGATTCTCTTTTTTGGGGATTTTGGGGTTACTCTTCATAATTCATCACAATATTCGTTTTCTTTGCAGGGAAGCAGTTGAAGCTGGCAGAAAGTTTCATGGCACAGATAAACAAAAACCATAATCCAGCGTCTATAGCTGATTCTTTAGATGATCAGATCTGGTGCTGGCGAGGATCCATTTTTCTACTTCTGCCTGTCTTCCCTGTAATTTATTTCCTTTTGGGGTGGGCGTTAGATACAGTAATGATAGTGTTGATTTTGATAGAGAAAAGTTGAGGTGTGGAATTCATGAACAACTTAAAGTGACTGTTTTCTGTTTATTATTCAATTTATTTGATATTGTATCAGTGCTAATTTAATGTTGGATTAGTCTCGATAACTAGATCGTAAGCAATTGTTTCATTTAAACATAAAGAAAAACTGAAAACAGAATTAAAAGAAGTTGAGTTGGCATGGGGCACCAAAACATTGTCGTCCTCGTAAGTCAGGTATCTGAGATTGTGCAGCCGTAACATTGCTTGGACATCCAGAAACTCCTCTTGTCTTACCCAAGGTGGGCTTTCTTCCATCCAGATTTCAGTGTGACGGTGGATTTGGGCATGGACGACAAAGGCATGAGATGGGCCATTTTCTTGGCGACAGGTATGCGAAACCCTGTAACATCTCCTCTTTTCAAATGTTCTTGAATATTCTCCACCATCAGGTTGGAGCTCGTTTTCGTAGTGATATGTTCATCAGATCAGATTGTAGAAGGTGATGGCGTTGGACTCTATTGTGGCAGGTCTGATTCCTGAAACGAATAGCTGTAGCTTCCGCCGATTCCATGAGATTTGAGACACTTGCGCATTCTTCCGCCCCAGCCACAATTTCTCCACTGTGGTTCCAGATTATACAACCCAAAACCATGGCTTGATCCAAAATGGGGGCATCCACATTGATTTTGTAAGTGTTTTTATTTGGAGCTTCCCATTTTGTTGTCATTGGGTCGTGTTGTTGTGTTGATAATTATTTGTCTCTGATTGTCTCTGATAATTTTGTTGTCATTTTGTTGCCATTGGGTCGTGTTGTTGTGTTGATAATTATTTGTCTCTGATTGTCTCTGATAATTTTGTTGTGGATTGTCTGTTGACCACCATTTTTGTTCCGCGTATTCCAGCATGGCCATTAGCCTGCCACTAGCTCACCTAGCTCCTTTGTTTAGAACCGATAAAGCCCTGCAAGAGAGATTGGGGATATCAAAGTTGGGCTGCTAAAAAGGAAAACGTAAGTGTCTCTCATGAGCCTGATGTTTCTTTACCATTTTGCAATGCTAAAGAACATGAATATCAGTCTCAGGGAGTAGTTTCCTACATTGTGGGCTCATAGGAGTGTCTAAAAGTTTCCTCTTGGGTAAAGGTTCTGTGTGGGAAGGATATTTCGACATGCGGGCCACATAAAGAGTAAAACTTTTGTAGGATAGATATCCTTGTAGACTTTGATCTGCAAACGTTTAGTTTTTTTGTTGTGAAAAACCCGTTCAACCCTATTATAAGCTGGTAGATCACCTACCAACTTTCTGAACTGGAAACCTATTTTATTCATCATGCCTTCGAGAAAGACCCGCTGAGAGATGCATGATTGATCTAGATCAATGGATATAGTGAATGCATTCGAATTCAATGATGATATTGCCCGCCATTAGAGAAAAATTTTGTTGTCTAAAACTAGCTCGAGCCTTTCCGCTAGCCATTTTCCAATTATTCTATGAACAACACTACGAAGGCCAATAGGGCAGAATTTGGTGATAAGAACGATTGTTATTAACGCCTTTAGGGAGAACTCATCGTATCTAGTTAGAAAGGTGCATACACGTTCTTTCTAGGCTTAGAGCAATGGATAGAGTGAATGCATTCGTATCCAAAGATGATATTCTCCGCTATTTGGCAGCTTGAGATGAAAGCATTTTGGGAATCACCAATTGTATTGCCTAAAACGAGTTGGAGCCTATTTTTCAACCATTTTGCAATTGTTCTATAGACAACTTTACAAAGGCTAATACGGCGGAGTTCGTTCATATATGTTCTTTTTGCTTGTTTTTGGTATAGAAGTTTGTATAACTTTGAGAGTAGTTTAGAGGTAATGATTTAATTAGTTAGTGGTCAGTACTAATTAAGCTTGTTTGGTCTGATAATTACGTGAAAAATGTGCTGATATAGGATGATGATATGGAGGGGACATATGCCAATTTCAAAGTTAGGTAATAATGAGGCAGTGGAATCCGAAGACGTGGGCAACCACGACAGCTTAAGAATTAGGCTAACCTAATGAAACAAATTCTAAACTATTTGATCATGCAAAAACGTTAGACAAAATTGGTTACTATTAAAGTTTTATATTTAATTTGATTTGCTGTGTTATGCTTTCATAAATATTAAATTATGGTGAATTGAACTTTTATTCTTGAATTTGGTTGGTGAGTTAATTTCTAAACCCTTAAATGTATATTTGTTTTTTTTTCTTTTTAACTTCATTTAAGATTATTTTTTGTTCAGTTCAACAAGTGTAAATGGAGATTTAAACTTGTGATTCGAGATAACATATTTGATTATATAGATGTCCTATTCCAATGCTATTTGACACATGAGATTCAACTTATTTGTCCTGAATTTTTTTTTTTTTTTTTCTTTGGGCAAGTAGCAGATTCAATTAGGTGGTATGCACGTTTGTGTTGCTTGGGTTGACGCATTGTTCTGCATGGTCAGTCTTTTGACCCATAGTTGTTGGTAGGACTCATATTCACTAGTTTAGCAGGATGATTGTTTTAGATATTGACACCTTGTAATTATAAGTGAATGATTATCCTCGTCTATATGGATCTTGTCAATAATAGGTTGCCTCTTTGGATTGGATAGATTGTCTAGCTCTATGCATTCTATTTGGCTCATGCTGGTTCGACTACATCATTGGAATGTTCTATTTGAGAATACACCTTGTAATTATTCTACGACTGACTATTTGGGATAGGTTTCATATGCAGGTTCGACTACATCATTGGAATGTTCTATTTCTGACCGTATATATTCTCCACATTTAGAATAGATGAGTTTCATGGTCACTTATTCTTCAAGTGCCATGAGATATGTTCTTGGAACAACAAAGTTGGTTTTTGTACGTCGTACTAATGTTAAGGATTGCTTGCGTTGTCGAGTTTGAAGGTTAGCCTGACCAGCATGTGGTCATCTATCACTTATGATGTGAGTGCATCCTTTAGTTTCATAGCTCTCATTTTCGACCCTTTAAATTCTCTTTTAAGTTCTTTAATGAGATGTATTCTTTTTTAGGGTTTTTTTTTAAGACATTTTCCTCGGGATCAAGTTGTTGAATTGTTTGTTTGATATGAAAAAATATTTCATATATATATTCCATAGTTATATTTGTTTCACTAAAAATTTCCATATTTGTCATTTGTGGCATTTAATGAAACTAACCATAACTTAATTAGTTTATGTTGAACTAAATTGACATATCATGTTGAAATTCAAAATTTTCATTTAAATTATTATTTAGAAAACTGTGGAAATTGCAACTGAAAACTCTCCATCTCCGTCTTCTTTATAATCTCTGCAAAAGAACGAATGTAAAACGATTCAGAAACGGGAAGAACTGGAGATGGGAACCCATATTCCCATCGCTCCATTCTACTGATCCAACCCTCAAATTAATTTCCCAGAAAATTTAAACCCATTTCCCCCAAAAAGCCCTCAGATCCGTCCAAATTCCCCCAATGTCACCGGTAAAATTCTCCGCCGGCTACGGCACCGTCCCCTCTCCGGCCGCCTCCACCTCCGCCGGAGTTACACCATCTTTCCCTTCCAGTTCCTCCTTCCTCGAACGTGCTAAATCCACCACGCAATCGCTAATCGCCACACGGCGGCCATGGCGAGAGCTCTTCGATTTCTCCGCCTTTTCTCTCCCTTTCAGCTATGACGACGCCATGGCCAGAATCCGCCAGAACGTCGACTACTTTCGTGTTAATTACGCCTTGGTGATGCTCATAATCGTTTTCTTGAGCCTGTTCTGGCACCCGATTTCGATCATCGTATTTCTCCTCATCTTCGTTGGTTGGTTGTTCTGCTACTTCCTTCGCGACCAGCCTCTCGTTCTCTTCAACCAAACATTCGATGATAAAATTGTTTTGGGGGTTTTGAGCATTGTTACCATCATTGCTCTTGTTTCTACTGACGTCGGATCGAATGTTTTGGGAGCCCTAATTACAGGTGTCGCTGTGGTTGGACTGCACGCGGCGTTTCGGATTACAGCGGATCATTTCCTCGACGAGGAGACCGCCGCAGAAGGGGGATTGCTGTCGGTTGTGGGAAATCAGCAACAACAACAACAACAACAACAACAACGAGGTTACACTCGGATTTGATTCTCAATTTCATTCAGAATTCTGGCCAGTTTGATGGGTATGTCTCAGTTACTCGATTCCTTATTGTGCTAGCTTGGGTTCATCTGGTCATTGGAATCTGGTTCCAATTCATTTGTTGGTTTTATTTTCACATTGTGTTTCGTTTGGTGTGGATTATATTTATGGTGGGATTAAAGCTTTAGTGGCATTAGAGACCCACATTCCAGATTCTGAGATGCTGTTTCTGAATCATCAATTTTTTTTTCTGGGAGATTGATGTGGTTGGATCTTGGAATGGAGTGGGTTTCTTGAATTTGGTGTTTATTTTCTGGGTCTGGAAGGGTTCTTGCTTCTGCCTGTTTTTTTGTTTTTTTTTTTTTTTTTTTTCTCATATGTACATGTAAAATATTCAATATTCATCACTCGAACATTCAGCATGAGGAACTATGAGTTTTCCTTGTTCTATAATACTGTGCTTGCATCTTTTGATTTGACAATGTTTGATGTGGCCTTCTGTTTATCCATTCATTTGTATGATGTTGATGTAGAAAAAAGTATGACTATGAGAAGTTTATGGTTTGGAAAGCAACACGAGCATAGCTCAACTGAGTTAGTAATAATCTCACTCGAAACATGGTCGAACTATGTTTTTGAATTGCCGAGAGTGCCCTAGTGGCAAGGCCTTCCTGGGCGCATAAATTTTAGGTTGAAAACTTGATGTAGCCAAAACTTCTCTGCTAGGATTGATTTGTGAGGGTTTTGAGAATAATGTAGGGGATGGGGCTCGAAGCTTATCTAAAACGAATAAAACGACTGCCCCGAGGTTTAAATTTAGTCGTCGAGCGTTTAACTTTTCTAGAATTGATGAACAAATTTGAACCTTTAGAGTTTCATTAGATAAAATTAGTTTAGGAATCTATTTAATTAGTTTTCACAATGTCCCGACCTTGAGCTCATTCTCTCTAAATCTTTTATTATTTTTAGAACCCATGATGTTGATTTGATCCCAATTATGAAAATAAAAAGATTTAAAAGTCACAAATTCAAATTTTGGAATCTTTGGCATTGATTAACATAAATGGTTTTTTTATTTATTTGTTATGATAATTGGACTCGATAGAAATAGCGTTGGTTGCCTTTGTTATTGTTAATTAATAACAATCAAATGGTATGGTGTATCAATTTTTACCATAAATATTCAATTTCAACGTTGCGATCTTTTACGATGTTACTAGACAATCGTTAAAGAAGTATTTGAAGATGGAATATAAGAATGTTGTCATTTACTAGAGTTCACATAAGATATTTATTAATCATATAATTACGATATAAAAAAATATAATTGATTTTAATAACTACGTATTAGAAAGATTGAAAGTGAGTATTTACTATTTAGTGAAAAATAATGGGTAAAAAATGTAATAAACGAAACTCAAAACTTAATAATAAAAGTAATTTTTATAAATAAAGATGGATTCTTTTTAGAAACTTAGAAATCATTGTATACCAAAAATTAAACTTTGATGAAATGGGTTGGCATCAATAAGTGCATGAATGAATCATTGCTAATCTCAGCTGGATTCCCAACAAACAAACTAACAAAAAAAAAAAAAAAAAAAAAAAAAAAAAAAAAAAAAAAAAAAAAAAAAAAAAAANAAAAAAAAAAAAAAAAAAACCATTATTATTTATTTATTATTATTAGGTGTAGTGTAATGTGTATGTTTCTGTGGTGTATGATTAATTATGTTCCATTTATAAAAAAAATAATAATGACGTCATCAAGAGAGAATCATAACATCATTATCTTACAAATTTCTGTATCATATGGCCTCACCTCTTCAAGAGGAAAAAACCTTGAGAATCCCACTTTAGTAAAACACTGCTGATTACTAGTTAGGAAGGAAGTTAGGATCAGTTTGGTTTTGCTGGTTAGGTTTGTTGGTTTTTTCCCCCTTCTATGGCTTGGCTTCCCTCTCAGGTATCAAGGATCTGGAGAGAGCCAGTGGCAAGGCAAGGTGTATATGCAAAGACGGTGACTGCAACGATAAGGGTCGAGAGATGGTGTAAAATGTTACACGAGGCTGAAGGTTGCTAGGTGATAAAGCTCAAATGAATGAAAATTCTATGTATTTTATATCTTGAATGAATGTTGAAACAATGCTGTGTTTCAGCCCAACCTAATCATTGCTCAACAAGTGAATGTATACGTTCGCACAAGAGGTTAGAGGTTTGAATCCCTCTATCTCCCTATTTTTTAACTAAAAAAGACGGTTAAGTTTTTTTTCGGTAGTTCAACAACATGAGGAGTTGGAGTAATTTGAACTTTGACCTTTTGAGTGAAGGGTATACCTAAATCAGTTAAGCTATGCTCAAGTTGGCCAAAATGGTGATATTGACACACACTATTGAGATTAAGAAGTTTAAATACAAAAGTGAAACTGAAACTAAGATAGGGAGGCAAAACTGACAGAAATCTAGAACTTTTAAGAGTCAACTAACTATAAAAACTAGTAGTGAAGGCATAAAACTCTTTTAGAGGATAACTAAAATGAAGAAAAATAAGGACGAAATGAATGAGGGCAATGACAAATTTAAAGGATGATTGAAATGGCCATGTATTTAGGCAAAGAAAGGAGGTAAATTTGAAGAAAAGCTATCAATGGCTCAATAGCCACGAGTTAAGAGGTAAAGCACAAGGACCCTTTTCCCCCATAGTTTAAGCATAAACAGGGAAACAATTAAGCAACTAGTTAGTGAATCCATCCATTTAGTTTACTAGTAAAGGAACACAGGATATTCATGTTTGTTATAGAGACAAGCATGCAACTACAAAAAAAACAAATCAAATTCCAGAGGATTCCAAGACTACGACCACACGAGAGAATATGCCATCGAGATCCAAAAAACATAGAATCAAAACAGCTTCAGAAAACTTATCTGTATTAATCATCCTCTAGATTGATTGAGTCTTTGAACTTTCCATACAGAATTCTCTTCAACTCAGCCATCTGGGCCACAATAGAATCCTTTTCTTCCTCGAGTTTCTCCAAGTTCTTAACATTCTCCTCTTTCATTTCTTCCAACCTGCCTTCTACTTCTTCCCTTGGTACATGAGCAAAAACTTCCCCAATATGAAAACGAATCACATCTTCATCACTGAGAATCAGCTCATTACTTGCATCCTCTAGATTATCATTTGTTTCCTACGAAAAGCGACCATCAAAGGTGAATTCAACGTGACTTTTACAGTAACCAAAAGTGATTTTGAAAATTCCCTTGAAGGAACTTTAGAATGCACATCGAGGAAGTAACAAACCAGTGTTTTTTTCCAAATTTCTTATTGAAAAGAAAAATCCCTCAAAAGTCATCACAAACTCACTCACTCACTCTAATAAACATTTGGTTGCAGGGCAAACTTTAGGAGACAGAAGGTTCAAGTATTGATGAATCGCTTCACTAACTAGAGTCTCCCAAATACCACCAAAAAGTAAAGATGGGAAAGAAAACAACATACTATGCTGTAGAACAGAGCAAAAAAAAACATCTGGTGTGTATTGACACAGTACAAATTAAAAGTAAGCTAATCAATCTTTTAGGGAATATATCACTTGATTCATCTAACCCCTTCTATCGGGCATTTGTTTTACTAAAAAAAAGTCGAATTGCCTCCTCCGTGGTTACACAAATTGAATCTGAAAAGAAAATGGGATAAGAAGCAACTACTCAATTGAAGTTTCTAACAACATTTCAAGCGCTCACAAAATTCAAGAGGAGAAACTTCGAAGTTCATATCACATCGATACTCAAAATCCATCAATCAGCAAGGACGTCAGATATTTAAAGTAAAGAGCAAAATAAATCATTAAATACCCGATTTCTCGTATGAAATCAATACCTTCGCTGTTCTAATCTCATCCTCAAGCTCATGGAACCGATTGTTCAACCTACTAAATTTATTAATATTCTGTTGGTCCTCCCATGTGACCTCCGATTCAGATCCTCCGCCCTGTGCACATTAGGCATCAAAAACGCCATTGTCAGAAGACGGAAAAAGAAAGGAAATTTATATGATACAAGAAAAATTTGTGGTTCAATACGAGTTCGATTAGGGTTTCGCTTACCTGCTGCATGTTCGAACAGTCGGTCAATCGCTCGTAGTGAAAATGAGGAAGAAAGCTCCGGTTAGACGGAAATGGAACGAGCCAATTGGAGTCCGAGCGAAATGACGAAATTGCCCTTATCATTTTAGGGTACCATTATATTTATATTTAGGTTAAATTACCCCTTTACCCTCAATTTTACAAATTCTCTCAAATAATCCTTAAAACTTTAAAATATTTATCCATTCCTTTCCATTTTTAATATTTATCAAAGATTAAATATTATTAAATAGTTTTAATGACATATTAAATAAAATTAAAAAAATTAAGTGCCATCGAACAAAAAAGGTAATATTCAAGGGCATAATAAATACCGCTAAAAGTTGAAAACTTTACCGCTCGATCGAAAATTCCTTTCTGTCCTTATCATACTCTAGCTTCGTAGTTTCCACCGTCTGTTTATAAACGTTCTTTTAAAGTTAAAAAATCTATCGATAGAAACATTTTACAACTCACTGATTCAATAGACACGTGGCTGAAAGTTTACCAATTCAATTTATCACTTAACTGTATATTTAATTACAAATTATGAGATTGTGAATTAGTTTTAATTCTTTGTTTTTAGCGTGAGAGTGATCATCTAAACTTTTAATCATTTGGTCGATGACATATATTTTAACAGGGTTGAACTATAATCAAATTAGCATGAAATAATATTGCTACTAAAAATTAACGTAAAAAATTGATTAAACTAATAAATGATGATTTAACGTGTCATTATCTAAACAAGTTTAAGAGTATTTTTCAATAAATTTTAAAGTCTAACGATAAACGTACAAATTTTCAAAATCCATGAGCATAATTGAAATATTCCTTCAAAGTTAACACGTGTTTGTATAGTTTAACCTAACAATCTAGTTTGTGACGTGCATAAAAGTACTTGCAGTAAGTGTAGAATCAAATGTCAACACGAGCTTAGCTCAACAATAATGGACACGTTTTTTCATCGAGATCGAAAGTTCAAATATCTAATCCCACATTTATTATACGCACGAGTCAAGTTTTAACATAATGTGTGAGTGTGAGGGAATTTCATCCTCTCGATGAATACCAATTCAAATATAGCTCAGTGCACGAAATAATGATTAATACTTAAAAAAGTCAATAAATAAATACGACTATCACAATTAACGAGAAGTTTTGACTAACCTTTCAAAATAATTTTTCTTCATTATTTTAGACAAAAAAAAAAAAAAAAAAAAAAAAAAAAAAAAAAAAAAAAAAAAAAAAAAAAAAAAAAAAAAAAAA